CGTACAAACATGATCCTTACAAGTATCGATTGCTACGCCTCCACAGCAGCGCGTGGGTCGTTTCACTGCATGAAGCCAATTTCGTGTCCGCGTGCCGCTTAAAAAGGGCGTCGAACCAAACGTAACAGTCCCCGCGTCCAGTGAGTCAATGACGTTATAGTTGCAGAGCCACAGGTCTGTCCCTCGAGACAGAAAAAATGCAGAATTCCGTAGGGGGGAAGGGGGGGGGGGGGCACAAAAACAAGGGCAACAAGCAAGGCTCGCCGCAAGCGCTCAAAATTTCTTGCTTTACGCAGGTAAATCAACATGGGACGTTTTCACTCTACTTATTTTGACCTGTCCCTGCTTATCTTTACCTGTCTCTATGTATTTTGACCTGTCCCTTCGCATTTTGACCTGTCTCTACGCATTTTGACGTGTCTTTTGTGAAACAGATACGCTCTCCAGCTCATTTCCATCCTCCGCAACTGCATTTTCACGTGCGTTCCGCCATCCTAGCAATCGACAGAAAAACTCGCCTGGCATGTTTACAGCAGATTGTCAGCGAACACACCCCAGCCGTGTTGCTGAACGCAGCCACGAGCGGCGTGGGGGCGCCACATGCCGGGTGGTCGGCAGCCGAGAGGGAGCCGGGCAGCACCGCAACAGCATACGCCGCGGGACGGAAGTCGTGACTTCCCGCAGAGTGAAACACCGCAGAGCTAATTCATCCAGCGATTCTGCAAATACTGACTTCCGTCTGAAACAGTGGGCCGTCCGACTCATTAGTGAGTGTCAACACAACACTGCCGGCGCGCACACAAACACGCCGGGTGGGATAGAGGGGGCGGCGTGGTGTCGTCCGGGGCCGACCCGGGCGCGGACGCATGCGGGGCGTGTCAGCCGCTCGAGCCGGAGCGGGCCTGTCGCCGGGGCACCGGCACCAGCACCGACGGACGGCGGCGGGGCCCGGGAGGTGCTGGATGGTGCCGCTCCGCACCTATGGGCTAAAATGGTGACGCGATGTCCTGTTGTCTTGTCGATGTCCTGATGTCCAACATCACATACGTTCTGTTGCAGCGGCAGGGTAGTCTGTCTAAATGCTTTGGGACGGGCATCTGTTCTGCAATGAGATTACGTGTCATCATGGGGAGTATACTGACGTACAGCCGGCTGCGACAGCATGTACATTCAGTCTGCCTCAACGCTTGGTAACGGGCATCTGTTCCGTAGTGAGATTACGGGTCATCATATGGAGTAGACTGACGTACAGCCACAGACCTACATCACATTCGAAATAAGTGTGGTAAAGGACTATATCGTAGTGATCGCACGGCATCATATGTTATCATATCAACGCGTAAAGATGTGTCGCGCAGTGAGGCAGTAAGGGAATGCTATCACTCTAGGCCCGTAAAATGTTTGAAAGCGTCAGTTCGAAACTGTGTTTTGCAATATCGTTCGACAAACTTGACTTATGACTATCGATTCAGCGGCATGCGTCGAGTGCGTACACTGCTATGCATTGTATGTGAAGTATGCGGTGAGTACATGTTCATACATGGGATACAATATATGGGATACAGGGTGAGAGGAGGGAGGGACTGTTAAAACATGCTGTTTATAGATAGAACTATCAGGCTGGCGTGAAGCCACATACAAAACTTTAATTTACTTGAAGCACTGACGGTCGGTTTTTTACGACGGTCTCCGTCGTGCTGTCCGTTGTGAAGCCATATCGCCCGTTGTCGGCAATGCTGCGTCCCCGCCGCCCCCCCCCCCCTTCCCCCACTGCCCAGGAGCCCCTCTGGCTGCTCATTGGACCCCCCCCCCCCCCCGCACATCGGCCAGAGAGACTCTGGACACTGAGGAGCTCAGTTAACTCTCAAGGCTGCCTGTCTGCTCAGTGCCCCTCTTGCTGCTCAAGGAACTTGCCCTCGAGCTTGTGTAGCCATTGAGGGGCCACTTTGGCCCCCTAACAATCATTCGGCCTCTGGCATTTCTCTTTTGGCTGATTAGGGTCGTGAAAAGAGGTGCCGTGGAGTGGGCGGGGCGTCCAATTTTCCTGAACCCATTAAACGTAAACCTGGAGTGTTGTGGAGTCAAGTTTTTGCTGCATGCAGCAAAAAGGAAAAATGGCCGTCCTAAATGAGAAGAACTCACCCTCTGTGTACACACTAGGTCCCATTTGGCCACCCTGAGGCCCCTGTTACGGATAAGTGGGTTTCAACTGTCCACTATGAGCTCTAGGACCACTTGGGCGGCTTTACAGCTACTTAGGGTCTTTCTGGAATTTGAAAGGCCCTTCAGCACACAACATAACCTCATCACTACCCAGACTCTCTCTGACGGTTTTAGTGTAGTGGTTAAGATGGTACGGTAGGTAGGGTTCCTGACAGTTCAAAGACTTTTATTAAAGGGAGTATCCCACCTTTGCTGTACATTCACTCATCGTCATATCAGATGCGTAGATTTCATCAGTAAGATCAGTTCTCTCGAAATCCTCTGAAACGCTTAGAATTTCTTTTCGAAGCAGCCGACCCTGCGGGATAAATCTCATTACCGCTCGACTTACCGCTCACCACTTTGAAAGTAATACATTTGATTTGTGTTCTTTTTCCCTTTTAAACAAATTAATGTGTCACACGTCTGTGTGATAAATGCTACCGAAAGTTTGAAACACAGCTTAGATAAATTATATGCGAAGTTATTATCCCGTGAATTCAACAAAACGTTAAAGTACGGCTTTGATTGTTATTTTTTACAGTCTTGTGACCCCAACTGTTTGTCGTCTTTCGCATTCTTCTTCCAGCACGCCCCTGATTGCCTTTCGCCTAGCATTTCAACGTTCGCCTTCACTTTAATCTGAGCCCAACCCAGAACCTGCATATTGCTCATTCCTTCCTAGGTAGTGTAGAATCCCGGCATGCACCTACATATACCAAACGCTCGGGCGCGACGAACGGCGCCCAACAAGCAACACATGTCGCGCCAGGCTTGACGCATGCCTAAGGTATGTTGGAGATTATGATTATGGCTTGGGGGGGGGGGGGGGTCGACGCGCACACGCGGTTTTCGTTACGGGACAAGGCCTGGAGGAGGTCCGCGTTATGGACGTCGTCCGCGAGTGCTGCCTACCACCGGTTCGAATACTTCTAGGCATTCAGCTGCCCTGGCTATCGAAGTCCTTCGTGTTTTTTTTCGGCATTTCGGAAAGCAAATCCAGCCGTAGATCGAGCTCACGCGTGAGGCCTCGGCAAGTCCCGAGGGTGGAGAAGGATTGCTTTCAGGATTGGACTATCCCATACTCTAGGGTCGGTGTGCCTGCATGGCCAGCAGTAGCAGTTATCCTAACATACTTAAATTGACATTGTGTAAATAAGTAGTTTAGATGCGTGGATGATATTGAAAATCACTGTGATAAAAGTGGCTTTCGGTGACACGCTTATTCCTGATGACGTTGCAGGGCATGGACTTCATTACCAAGTCATGTCATATGGTGTCGCGTTACGCTGCTGGCGATAATTTTGCCTGCAGAAATTAGTCGGCGATCCAGTCGGCATTTACCACCCATGGTCCATCATTGCCGATAATGCCACGCTGGAAATAAGTCCAAAACCAAGTAAACCCAAGAAGGTATTGCCTGCAAGGCTGGTGCTTAGGAAGCAAAGCACAGTGAGGATATATATATATATATATATACATATATATATATATGTATATATATATGTACATTATTGGTTTTACACTATAGCAAATTGAAAGTTTATGATCATTTTAATCGCTTGTTGGAGGCTTCGTATAGTGTGTTTGTCGTTTTCGATGTATTGACATGGCATATTGGAAAAGTTCATTTATTTTTCAGCGCTTCGATCGGTATGCTGATTATTTTCAACATAATATATAACACTACAAACAGTGCAGTCACACACAGTGCGTTTGAAATCAACATTTTATCGCATTCCTACGAAACACACGCTCGAGGCATTTGATAAAAAAACTTTGGCATGCTGCATGCTCTATATCAAGGAACATTTGTGTACCAGTGAAAGCTTTTACATTTTCCCCATATTATATTTATGACCCGATGACTCCAATCCGACTCGATGTTTGAAGCCTTCACGGTTCAGGTGAGTCCATTGTATCCTTATATAGTGGGTATCGGGCAGAATCAGGCACACCTTTTGAGTGCATTGCGAAAATGAACATAGGCACGGGTAGCTGCTTCGGACTAGAGGGTAGAAAGTCTAACAAATATCGCAAGATATGGTGGGTTGTCCTTATTTTATACATCAGTACAGTTCTGCTCACGTCATGCGCAAGTGTCGCACCCAGAGTAGTGAGCCTGTGCCTAAAGCCTTCGTAATCGCTCCACTTATTTGGAATAAAAGCTTGGAGATCGTAAACTGTTGAGTAACAGGTGGTTGATACTCATTAGGAATGGGTCGTGGGCCAGTACGGTTGGGGCCACACGGGTAGCAGGTCGATTACGCAAACGAAATCGCTGCTGTGTGAAAATCTTGGCACTCGATGCCCCAGCCACCGCATGGCTGCCGAACTCACGCACGTTACATGTTCTCTATCTCAGCCCTGCATGTGCAGTTAACCCGCGCGTGATGAAGTGCGACGCGGAGCGGCACCAGCTGCTGCGGCCTCTCGGGTCGTTCAGCCCACCTGCCCTTCCTGTGGCCCCATTAGCAGAGGGCGCGCGTGCGCCAGCTCCATAGCTAATTGCCGCCGCGTGAACGGCTGCCCGGCCGTTTGTGTTCCCCGCGGCGGATTATTCTGGTCTCCTGCCAAAACAATGGTGCGACGAGTCGCGGCACGGCTCAAGAACAACTCTCCTGACCAGGCCGCAATAACACGGCGCACCGTCCCCAAACATTGAGTTTTTACAGAACAAATTGTTACCTAAACCTCGCCAACTAGAAAACACAAACAGAGGGTGTCTAAACAAACAGCACCGGATGGAGAGGAGGGATTGATGGGGCTGGTGTGGCCGTCAGTTCGCTGCCGGCCCTCTCCAGGGCAACACCTCTGCCGGGTCACGGCTGAGCTGGAGGAGCATCTGAGCCCTCAGGCGGTCTGCTGGTCTGCAGTCAGCAGACCTCAGGCGGTCTGCTGGTCCCGTCGGCCGACTGAACGGCCGAATCAAAGGTGCAGGCAAGCGGCTGGCACAGCTAGGCAAGCCCGCGTGGCACCACCGGCTCTGAGTTGCACGCGGGGGGCGGGTGGCTGTGCAACGCTGGAGTCGACAGACACTGCTGAAGGACCTGGACAGCTGTCCGTCTATCTGCAGTGTGTGGCACAGCGCACCTTACCAGGTACGAGCCCGAGCAACAGAGCGGTGGTCAGACGGAGGGAAATGGGATCCAGCTCGCTATTTGGGGATGGTCACGTGACGGGTCATCCCCACGTGAGGTAATTGAGGCGGCATCACCACGTGAGGTGAATGACAATCCCCAGCATCGCCGTGATGGCGCACTACATAGCACACCGCGCATGTCTTCTTTCATCCTATCGCACACAAACGTCCCGGTCATTGTTCGTATTTGTCACTTATATCACGGAAACAACAGCCGTCTTTTTCGCGAGGGAGCGAGACTGAGCTGGGGGTGTGAGGATGATACGGAGTAGCTGACCGAAAGCGCGGCGATGCGGACGTGGGCGCTATCTACAGAGCACGGTAATAAGGGTCTTATCTAAATTGGTTAAAGCGGTCGTTTGTAGTCGAATGAAGTCACGCCCAGACTTCTGCTTGATTTAACTTCGCGTGAATAACATCGATTACAACTGGAAATAATTGGGATTCAAATTGCATGTCAATTCAAACTAACTTTTCAAAAAGTTAGCCGAAACTTGTGTCGTCTTAAGAAGGTTGGCATCACTGATTCCGAACCTGAATCTGAATTAAGGAAAAAATGTCTCAATAATGATCCAGAGTAACGTGATTCGAATAAAGACGAATACCGCCACTACCAAATTATATGATATTGCGGTAATATATATATATATATATATATATATATATAATATAATATATGATATTGCGGTATCAACGCGGTAATATTTTTTGGAACTGGTTTTATCCGATGGATATGATGTGAAAAGTTTTGGAGCGATTGTGAGTGATATGAACCACAGTACATTTGAAAACATTTTAGGGGTCTCTTTACACGTCTGAAAAATATTTCCGTTTTCTGGAACACCAATCCTCTTTTCATGCATTTTAAGTTTATAGGATAGATAACCTTCATTGTGGTATGAATACCTGAGATGGCCTGACAACACTCCTCTTTTCAAATGTGAAGCGTCTTCAATATTGCCATGATGAAACCTTGTATTTATGCTTTAGATTATACGGGGCTGTTAAGTTAGATACGGCTTAGTTCCCACGGATTCTAGGAATTGCCATGGATGCCGCCACCCATATTAATCAAGCCTTCATTAATCGTCATTCAAGTCCTTAACAACAGGTATGGCTTGTTGCCGATTCACGTTGATGAGATGTCAGCTCAGCTGTTTCAATCGGTACGAATTAAACCAAGTCTTTTTTAATCACTTCCAAAAGTAGTTCTTCAACTCAAGCTCGATTCACGGAAAATTGGGATCATTCTCGATCAATTTCTGAATCAAAATCGAATCATGCATGCGTCAGGTCGCGCCCGATCCTTATCACCACCACAAGCCAACATCCCGCCCAAGAGTGCGGCGAAACAGGTGACGCCCGCAGCGACCCCCGTTCCAGCGCTACGGCGATCACCACCGCCGTCTTCCCGCAGGCGCGATGGAGGGGTGCGATGGTTACCTGTCGAGCTTGGCGCCGCTGTGTGCGCGGCCCAGCTGCCTACCGCCCTACCTGCCCTTCTACTACCTGCCGCTGCACGGCTGCCAGCTGGCGCCGCCGCCTCAAAAGCCACCCTACAGCTACATTGCCCTCATCGCCATGGCCATCAAGTCGGCCGCCGACCAGCGCATGACGCTCAGCGGTATCTACAAGTACATCATGGAGCACTTCCCGTACTACCAGCAGAACAAGCAGGTGCGCGGTGGGCGTTAAGAAGGCGCGCCGGTCGTCGCCATCGCCGTCGGGTGGCGAGGTTGATAGAGATGGCTGTTAGTGTCAGTATTGGCCTGGTCACCACCATATCATTCGCCATCGCCGTCGGGTGGTGGGGTTGATAGAGATGGCTGTTAGTGAGTGTCAGTATTGGCCTGGTCACCACCATATCATTCGCCATCTGTCTTGTGTTGTTAAGGCCTTCAGAGCATGTCAGCACACGGGACATTTCTACATTTCGAATGCGTAATTTCCGCTGATACCGAATATGACTTTCAGTGATAAATAATGCTGGCGTTGTGTAGAGCCTTAATAATACACCTTTGGCATGTGGTACATTACCTGCATGGCGTATGGGACACACACCCGGAATGGTAACACGACACGCGTTTGAAGACACGGTTCTCGTAATGTTGCCAAGCTGGTGGAATCCAACCTCAGTGCACTGACACTGCTTATGTGGAAATGTAATGTTTTGAAGATCATGGCCCTATCACCCACTTCGTTCTCATCACCTTTTACTATTTTAACCGTATGGGACATTCCACAAAGTATGAAATGCAAAACAATGAACGGATCGTGGCCAGCAACTGCTACCTCCAGCCATGAATAGGTGGGCTAGCCTTTTTTGGGAACACATTTTAGCAACATTCAATGAAGCATCGGTGCCAACCACGCATCGCATCGGCTTCGCGGAGCACACCCCAGGCCAGCGTTCCGACCCGTCGCATCCTCTCTGGTTGGCTCGAACGGCTTTCAGCTCTGATCCTAAGCACCCGTCTCTCCTGCAGGGCTGGCAAAACTCGATTCGGCACAACCTTAGTCTCAACGACTGCTTCCGGAAGCTGCCGCGCCAGAAGGGCAAGCCCGGCAAGGGCTCCTTCTGGACGCTCGACCCCAAGTACGCCGACATGTTCGAAAACGGTAACTTCCGGCGACGCAAGCGGCGTATGCGCTGTCCGACCCAGAAGCCGGATTCAGAGTCGACGGAGTCTGTTTTGGAGCCGCTCCCCGCGCAGTGCGGCCCGCCGGTCACCAAGGCCTCTCTCTTCACCATCGAGAACATCATCAAGCCGGAGCCGATGCTGTACACAACGGTGACGGCGGGGAGGACGGATGAGGACGGACAAGGTGCGAGCCAAGTGCGCTGATTATAAGAAAGCGTGAGGGTAGGCACGTGTTCCGCCGCGAGAGCAGGGACAGAAGATCTGTGTATGGTTCGTAATTTCACGGCATGTTTGCTAAGCGTGCAGCTAAAGGTTTCCTATGATGTTCTGTAGATGAGCAAGGTGTTAATAAGACGGGTCTTTGTGGTACATGGATGTTCGCTTGACTGGATCCCTGGATTCTGCATGACAATCAAACCCATGGTGCAAGATATAGAAATGGTAAAAAGCTATAAAACCCCCGCTAAAACTTAAGGCTGCGCCGAGATACGGCCAGTTACTGGTGGGAAGGGCAAACACACGAGCACAAGCTTTCCTGATCCAACGAACCCTGTGGAATCATTGCAGTCGGTCGGGTTATGCCAAAGCACGGTTCGTTTGAACGTGCGATGCAATGTTGGGGTATCCCGGTTACGTCCCGGGCAGGAAGCCTGTGCTGAGTCTGCCCCAGCGGTCTTAGTGTTCTCCGATAGCCATAAGCAGCCGCCTGTCTGCGGGCATTGGAGCAAGCTGATTCGCAGTAAGCATGCACTGGAAGGTGGAACCTTTAAGATCCGGCGGTGCCAGCAGGTGGAGCTGACAGCGCCCGTCACATCTTGCCGTCATCAAGTCGGGACTCACCACCTGGATTGGGGCTGTGCCGGTGCCATGTACTTATCGAAGACGTTTTTCCATTTTACAGATCACAGAGACGATAGATAATAAGCTATGCGTGTATAAGCAATACAGCTGTGCTATGAGTGTCATCCAAGCTAGAACCACGGGGAAAATAGCAATAGAAAGCTCCCGTCAAACTACATCAGATAGGCGTGTTCTGACAATGGCAAATGTGACCACTGAACTGGTCAAACCAGGTCAGCTGGGAAAACTAGCACTTACAAACTATTGCTATCTCACAAACTAAGCATGTCACGATAGACGGTGTTGAATGACTTGAACAGAAAGGCGGTTTTGAACGGTTCTTGAGAAAATTCCATTAGATAGTCACTTGTTGACATTGACACATATGACGCATATGATCTGTGAGGTGTCATGTCAAATCAAAGGGTTGATGGCGATTGTTGCATCGGCCTGCTCGGCTACATCAATAACTAAAGAAGTCGCATCAATACAAAACAGACTTAATGAGACCTTCAAAAGCTGTAACATAAATGACATCAAGATTTAGCTTGCATGACTTTGAAAGGTCAGATCTAATCACAAAAGTAAAGTTTGACATACCTTGACAGCTGGATTGCCTGACCTTGCAAGATCTGCTGGAACGGAAGGACTGCACTTCGGAATGATATAGATAAAAAGAGGACTCTAGGAACTCATTTCAAGTGCATTTTGCAAGAGAAATAGGCGTTATTTGTCGCCTCTGCGCAAAATGTCACCAAAATAGCCCGGAGACAAAGTTATAAATAACAATCGTGAAATTCGGAAGCTTTAATTGTCCACAACATCGTGAAAAGGATTCAAACGTAGGCACAGGTTATACATATGAACCGTGAAATTCAGAAGCTTTAATTTTCCACAACTTTTCTAGTCCAAGCCATTCAGAAGTTATTCCGGGGAATATGCTTATGTGCGGGGTAAGGGGGAGGGGGGGGGGGGGGGGGGCTTCTGAGGCGCCCTTGACGAGCGAGGGTTAAACGTTAAAGAGCAGCGAAACCTGTGTCACGAACGCCTTGTTGAGCTGACACAAAGCGTGCAGTGTCTCGATGAAATGCTTCGTGGCTACATGCACGAGACATACATGGACAAAAGCTATTTACGACCTCTCATGCCCATCGCACGATATGTGAGACAATATGGCGTGTGGCGCGCGTTGCAAATACAATTTTTAGGCCATTGGTTTTGCAAAGGCGGCACGAAAAATCGAGCCGCGCCAAAACCGGCGAGTGACCGTTGAAAACCGTGACCTCATCTCGGCAACTGCGGGTCGGAGCGATGCGAAATAAATACGCTTTGATAGAGAATTAAACGGAGAATTGTGTGATTTTACGTGCGACTCTGCACATGCCACTTCCCACGTGCATAGCTGCCGTCAAGACAAATTTCCCCATTTCTATTTTTTTTGCGTTCTATGCCGCGTCTCGGCAGCCAGAGCCGGCGGAGGCGTGAATCAAGCTTTAAAGCATTGACTAATTTACCTTCTGCAATTCATATGACTGACACAAGACTGCGGTGTGTGACTGCGCCAGTATCGTCGTGCAAGCCTGGCATGTCGGCATTCGGGAAAATGGTGCCAAGTGCAGCACACTTTCGTCGAAACTATCACTAGGGTCGTGGCGAAATGGTCATCGCCTCATGCGCCGATTCACTGGTCGTTTTTTAAGTCATTCTATACACTCTTCCGTGCAAACATCAAGTTGACCTAAAAGGCTACATTTTCACTTTTCGCGACGTCACAATGCCACCGATGGATCGCCAAGTCGCCGTGGCGGAGTACTTTAAGTAAAACTCCGTTCAAATAATGAGGAAACTGTCCAGAACTTTTATATGTCATTCTTCAAAGCGTCATCTTGCAGAAACAATGATCAGGGCATCATGACCTTTTGCAAGGCACAAATACCTATTTTCCTATGTGTCATTAACCTTTGTCTCGTTTGCGTTTGGTTGAACATAGCTTGGTCCGTTCGTTTCTAAAATAGAAAGGTGGTTATCCACTTAGAAATGCATGACCGCTGCCCCAACGATTCATGCGTAACGCACGGAAGACTGAGCGCACGGCACGCCGCCGCGACCGGGAAGTTTAAGGCCCATTGCGCTGTCCAGAGCCACTACGCTGTTTCTGGGGCCCTATATGACCATTTGCAGGGTCAATTCGATTATTAGGGAGATTTCTACGTTGGCCGTGATTTGTTTGCATTTGCTCGGAGGGCCCTGCGCTGTTTCTGGGGCCTTTCCTGCTAGCGTAGCGGGACACTCTTGTCAATCAGGAGCCTTCACACTGACTCTTTTCATTTGTCCGAAAGGCTCTATATAGACGCTATAGCCGGGGGTATATGTTAACCCTCCAGGTTATTCTCGGTAGTCCAGAGACCCTCCACGTTGCTTTCGGTTAACCCACCAACACCCTCACGATGTTCCCACGGGCTCTCTGCATTGGTCAAAAGGCCCTTCAGTTCTCTGTCACTTGCTTAGGGTACCACGCTCTTGACGGAGACCCTTCCCCAAATTCGCCTGCTCGGGCACACTGTTTGTTCTGGGGGAGTGCACATTGCGTTTTGATATTTGAATGTAGGGCCCTTCCCTCGTGTCGGGGGCCATCTGTAAACCTGCTCGGACACACCCGATCATTCCTGGGCTCTCCATATTGTGTCTTGGATACTTCTTATTTGAGTGGATGATCCTATGTTCTTGTCGGGCTCATGGAACGGGGACATGGAACCATACCCCGTTGTTCCCAAAGGAGGACCCAAAGGCTTCGAAGGTGCTCATGGCCGGCCGAACGGACGCAGTTTTCTCACACAAAACATAGCAAAATAGGGCCTCTTTGGGCCTGCAGACGACCAAGAACAGTCACAAGCGAAAGTGAAGAGTTGTAAGCAAACAAAGTCGATTCTTTGCTGATCGAGGTGGTGATTGGAAGGGGAGGGGACATTTTAAGGCTCACTGCGCTGTCCAGAAACGTTACGCTGCTGCTAGGGCCCTATATCACCACTTGCCGTGTCAATCCGATCGCTAAGGAGCCTTCCACGTTGTCTTTGATCTTTTGCATTTTTGTCATAGGGCCCTACACTTCTGTTGGGCACCATCTGCTAGCATGCCTGGGCACTCTTGATCGATCAGGAGCCATCCGCTGATTCTCTCCATTCCCCAAAAGGCTCTACACGCTTTTGCTGGCGTCCTATATATCGGGGTACACTCAGTTGGCCAGCGGCCCTTCATATAAGTCTCGGATGCTTTCCACTTGCTTGGAGGACCTTGTGCGGTATGGTATGATAATTTGTTTTTAAGGGGTGCATCAACCGCAGCGGTCATTTTACGCCCATTACTTGGTCAGGTAATCCCCACTTCATCGACGCGTGCGTGCATAGCGCCAAGAGTTTTTTTTCATCAAGCCTGAGTTGGGCGTACAAAGGTTAAAGTCACACACAGTTACGGGCATTGGAGAAGTGAGAAGAATATCTTAACACCTATTGACCCTGCAAATGGTCATATAGGGCCCGGAAAGAGCGTAGTGCCTCTGGACGGCGTAATGAGCCTTAAATTTCCCGTTCACCACCCTCTCAATCAGAGTAGAATAATTTTTGTCTGCTCGTAGGCCCTTCACTTTTG